TGGGGACCTATACAGTTCTTCCAAGGACTCAGAGACAATAGGGAAAATACCTCATGCACACACCACTGGGTAGAAAGATGTAAGTGTTAATTATCTTGTCATTTGGGGCTGCTTTTATACGCCTCTGTATAGTTACTTGAATCTTATGTATCATTTCTTTAAGATTTTTTTATAGACCACTGAGCATCTGAAAGAAAAAAAAATGAGGGGGGTGGTATAGCAAAAGACATAGAATAGAATTCTTCTTTTAAAGTAAAATAAATGTCCATGGAAAGTTTCTTGACAGACAAATTACTGCCAATCAGAAATGAAACATTAAATTCTAAATCAATGAAACTTAGTGCCTCCACAATATATTAGAAAAAAATTTCAGTGGTACCATAGTTATTGGAGGCACCTTCCACACATTAACTTCAAGCTTATCCTAAGTGTGAAAGGCTATTACAAATATTGAATAGCTTTGCAGATAAGATACTGGCTCTCTGGAACCCCATTTGCAAGGTTAACAAACTCAATTATGTTTCCACCTTTTCATTAAATGACCTCTCCACCTCTTAGTCTTAACGAAAAGCTGGCTCTCTGCAAAGGGCACCAATTCAACTATCATTCTCTAAAAACTGCTCATTCTGCTACACAAAATGTAACTCAGAATCAGGCCATATGATGGGCATTTTCCTTACTCATCAGTGCTTCTCCCAAACCATCACTCCTCTTCCTCAAGGCCTATATATTTAGCTTCACCACCCTCGGTCTCTCTTTATCTTTTAGCTCTATCAAAAATGCAGTCATGCAGTCATTCCCAGTCACCCATCAGACTTTGTTGTTTAGCCAAGGGTATTTGTTGGTTGCCAAATCCGAAGTCCCTTTCTCCCTGTTCATCGTACTAGAATGAGGTTCTACTCTTTCACCCAAACTCAGAAGAAGGACTTCAAACTCAACATCAAAAATCAATCTTGATGGATCTAGCTAATTATGTTTTTATTCTCCTGGTAAATAACTGGTTAAGAAAGAGGGATATAAAACAATTTTAGCCAGCTAGATGCATAGAATCTGGTACATGGATTCTTGAAACAATTCTGTAGCTGCTGGATATTATTATGTCTGGATGCAATGCCTGGAATTGTACTTATTTCTGAATGATGAAATTATGATGATTTTTATTTTTTCCCCCAAAATTTTCCACAAAGAGCAGGTATGATTTCTATAAAAGACAAAATTAAAAAAAAAAACACCTTGAAAAGTTGTTCATTTATTCTGTTACAGGTCATAATAGAGTAATATAGGACTAATGTTCCAACTGCAAAAAAAAATACAAACTAGAAAACTGGAGGAAGCATCTGAAAGGATGGTTTTAGATATTAGACAACAGTCAACACAGGACTGTGATCCTTAAGAGAAGGACAATAAACAAGGTGAGCATGCCTAGAGGCAGTTTCCAGGTTATAATGCAAAGCTGGCAAAGGGAGGGAACTCAAACAAAACATAGGTAATCTGAGTTGAAAGTCAGAGATTGCAGTCCAGAATGCCAAGGCAACTAGCATTTGCAGGGCCAATTACCAGAGAGAAAGAGGCTGCAAAAAAGAGCACTCAGGAAAACTAGAGAAGTGTAGTGCTGAGTGTTTGGCCGAGTACTAACCTGTGCAAGCATGGGAAGAAACTACCCACGGCTGGGCAGAGAACCACCAGAAGTGAACAGGCAGAATGATTTGTGGAGTTCTTACAGAGCTGGCAATACCTTGTGTTTCCACAAAGCCAGAGTTGAAAGATCTCAAGATACCTGGGCATGGCGCAGAAGTCTTCAAAGAGCATTGCTTTAGATTTGGGTTTAAATAAGGCCTAGATGAAGGACTGCTCTGAATCCACTAAAAAACTTAAAAGCAAGTCTTGAAAGGATCCAACCAATTTCAAGTAATGTAAATGCAAATCAGAATAAAATTTAATACTATTTAAGTGAATATAACAAAATATAGCTCCAAAAACATAAAATTTAAAATGTCAGGCATCAGGGCTTCTCCCTGGCATCTTTCCACAAGAGCTAGTTTGAGTTTCCTACCAGCTAGAGGCCTCACAGTAGTCAGACGTCTTATATAGCAGCTAACTAGGAAGGCAGAGACCGCATTGTGTTTTATGACCTAACGACAAAAGTCACAAGGCCACTTCTGCCACATTCTGATGGATATAATCAAGTCACAAGCTTTCCCAGATTCAAAAGAAGAGGAATTAGATGTCATTTCTTTTTCTTTTTCTAATTTAATCTTTATTGTATTTTTTTTACATTACCTTTTAGTCCCCATATACCCTCCTCCCCCCAAGCAGTCACCACACTATTGTCCATACACAGGAGTCCTTTTTCCTTTTTGCTTAATTCCTCCATCCCCTAACCTCCCCTCCCTCCACAACCAACTAAGATGTCATTTCTTAATAAGGTAGTGGCAAAGGTCTAGAAAAAGATGTGGGAAAGGAGACACTGTTCTTCACATCTTTGAACAATGTAATCACACTGCAGATCTGTGGTGCAGACCTCCTAGTGACAAATTTTCTGAACTTCTGTTTAGTTGCAAATGTCTTTATTTTATCTTTATTTTTGAAGGCTATTATTCCAAAGACAAGGTTTCTTACTAGGTTTTTTCTTTCTCCAAGTCCTTCATAGATGCTTTAGTGCCTTACAGTTTGCACTGTTTCTGATAAGAAGTAAGCAGTAACTCTTATCATTGCTCTCCATTATGTAATGTGTCTTTTCTTTTTCGGCTACTTTTAAGATTTTCTCTTTTATCATTTCTTTCTTTCTTTTTTCTTTTTTTTATGTTAGAAATCTGACTGTATGTACCTGGATGTGATTTTGTTTTTCCTGTTAAAGATTTGTTGAGCTTTGTGAGTCAGTAGATTAATATTTTTTATCAAACCCAAAAGAATTTCAGCTATAGTCATGTATTATTCCCATCTTTTCTTTTACATTATTGTGTATCTTTCTATTCAGGTTCCTAAAGGCCCTGTCTGCTCTTTTCAACATTTGTGTTCTCAGTGGGTCTGTTTGTATTACCTGTTTTTTCTTCTGTTATGGATCACATTTTCCTGCTTCTTTACATGTTAAATTATAGCTTTTTACTGTGAAATTGTGGCCACTATGTGGTTGAGAGTCTGAATTTTTGTGTTTGTTCCACTTCAAGGACTGTTGAGTTGTGTTTTGGCAGGCAGTTATTTTATTGGTAGATTACCTCAACCTTGTTGAGTCTTGTAATTAGGCTTTGTTATGGTGGATCAAGAGTACCTCTTATTCTAGAGCTTGAGTAGCACTCTTAAGACCTACCCTTCTGAGGCCTCATTGAATGCACAAGATCATTAGCAGTCTCTCCACTCTGGGGGTCAGAGCGCCAGTGTCTCCTAGCACTCTGTAACCTCGGGCATTCTTATTCAGCTCGCAAGTCCTCAGTGGCTATTTTGTGCCAAACCTCACAAAGTTTCACCCTGCACATAGCAACTTAGTTTTTAACCAAAGACTCACGGGCTCTCTAATACAGATTTCTGGAGCTAGTTCTCTAAACAACTTCCTATTCTGGTGCCTTGCAAATCCCAACAAATCTAGCCCCACAAATTCCAACTGCCTCACCAACCCTTTCTGCCAATCTCTGTTTATCTGTGTAAAACACTGTTTTTTATTTGGGACCTACTTCTCTGTGCTACTTGTTTGGATGGTGCCCCCGGGCAGAAAATGAGAGTGAATGACAAACTTACCTTGTGCACATCCCCTCTCTAAAGGATCACAGCCTAGTGCTGTGTGCTGTCCAATCCATGAAAAGAGTTGCTTCGTACATTTTTATCCAGTTTTACAGTTGTTTAGAGAGTAAGGATGACTTTGATGCCTGTTACTCTGTGGTGGTTGGAACTGGAAGTCTTAATTATTTAAAAATAGCATAGACAATAAATAAAATCTTAATTTCCAGCCATCAAAGTCAACCAAGGAAAACTAAAAATAAAAAGATGGGGCAAAAGTATTAGCAGACTCATAGAATTTTCCACTATTTTAATTTTCTTAAAATCAGGAAAATCATTTTGAGTCATATCATTTTGGTTCATTTTCATTTTTTACTGACAGCACAATGACCACCACAACACTCTTCATTCCTTCCTTCTTTCTAACCAAAGCCTAATTTTATATTTAACGCCAAGTGAATGATTCAGGATGAATCAACTATGCCATAACGATGCCCCCTTTCACTCTCACAAAACAGTCCCCCAGTCACCATTAGTGTTGGGGTGACCGGACAACTGCATTCTGACCAATGAGACATACAGGTGTGTTAGCGGTCTCCTGAAAAGTTTTGCATTTCCTTAGTAAGAGGAATAGGTGAGACTGGCCTCTTTTTCCTGCCTCTCTCCCTATAATACAGATGAAGAGGAAAAGTCCACATGCTAAGTATGGGAGAGGAGAGGGAACCGAAGAGCCTGGTCCTTAGTGACATCAATGAGCAACTAAATCAATTCAGAAACTCACAGTCCCTGAGAGAAAAAAGAAAACCTATTTGTTTAAATCCCTCTGTGTAAGGTTTGCTGTTTCTACCTGTACTAGAAAGCATTTCTGGCTGATAAATACAAATATTTGTCTCTTAGACAAAGAAGCATTTGCAAATATCATGTAAAAATAGATTTAAAGTAAAACATAAAAAGAAAATGGTGTGGAACTACATTCTTTTGAAGTCTCTGGACTAATCAGGTTTCCTTCTGTGTCTATTAAATGTATGCCTGCTTTACGGTACCTCTAGACTGCAAAATTCCTGTGGCCAGGGATTTTCTATGCTCTACATATGGGCCTAAGCATTTTCGATGCTCAGATTAGCTTGCTGATAGCTATTTCTAGGCAATCTTTAAGTTATTTCTGTCATTGAGGTAATGTTTGACTTCATCAGGAACAAAGACCTCATAGATTTAGAACATTTTTTTTTTCTCACAGAAGTGGGTATGCAGGCAAAACAAAAAAGCGAAGGGATGATTCACTGTCTTACGTTCGCATTCTCTGACATCCAAGTTGAACTGCTGTAACGCTCCCAAGGTAAGCTGCCTTACTTCAGCCTCCAGCAAGAGTTGCATCAAGGATGTGGCTAAATGCTTGCAAGCTGACATACATGCTGTCTGAGCCACCTTTCCCTGAAATACAAGAATGTAAATCATAATGTTAGTGGATTAAAGTGAAATTCCAACAAAATTATTTCTTTAATTAGGAAAGTCTTTAAGGTTTTCTTCTTCATAATACCCTTACATTCAAATCATATGGGAACTAACAGGACCTGATGGCAATCCCCTTAAATACTAGCTTCAGCATCATCAATCATGTAGCTATAACACTAAGTTAAAAATTCATAAAGCCCAGCTGTTTATTCAAGAAGTACTTCTTTCTAAATCAACAGATAAACAATATCCAAAATCTTAATTAAACCAAGAAGAAATTTTTCCACAGATAATAAATTTCAAACAGTCCCTTCTGAAAACAATCACACAATTCCTAAAAAAAGGTAAGCAATAATCCCTAACTTATCTAAGAAACCAAAGTCTTTACTGCTTAATGATTTAACACATATAAAGTGAAAAGAATAAAAAAGGTTTCCTGAAAAAAATAATTACAATGATGAATTTTATTTTTTTTTTAAATAACACTGAGGTTTATGAGCAAAAATTCTAAGCTAATTTTTAAAATATGATATTGAAAACTTACTATCTTCTTCAAAGTATTCAAACGCTTTATCATTACTGGGTACATCTTAGCCCCAGGTCTAAGTCATTCATCATAGAATGTCCAGAAGGTATCTAGCCATTTAATACGAAAAATAGAGACATTTATTGAAGAAGATACAACATACAAGAAATGCTGTACATAGGAAATGATGCCTCAGTCCCCTTCAAAGTAGGCACCTTGGGACTACTTTGTATGCACAAAGAACTGTGTATGCACAGTTCTCCCAATTGCCATCCACTGGCCTATCACATTTTCCTGAATCTCATTGACAGTCTGAAATCTCTTCCCTTTCAAAGGTTATTTTAGTTTTGGGAAAATCCAGAAGTTGCAGGGTGCCAAATCTGGGCTCTAGTAGGGGAACAGAGTCAACTAGGTGATTTGAAGTTTCACGAAAAAAGTGCACAAGATGCGATGCACGAGTGGGCATGTTGTTGTGATGAAGCTGCCAGTCACCAGTTGCCCATAGAGCGGACTTTTGAACCATCCCAATAGTTTCCACAGAGGAATATTCAAACTTAATGCAAAATTTGATGCAGATTTTTTTTCTTCTATCCAGTTATTTTGAATGTGATGGGCACAGTACACATGCTCAGTCAACAGTATCTACTGTCCCCACTGACTAGTACAGTGAAGCCATCATTGTTCACACATGCACATTCTAGTCCACTCTCCTTGGCTGCCAGGTTACATCAATGTTGCATAAACTGTTCGCATTATGTTAACAATGGCTGGATTTTTGCTGGGACAAACCTCATATATCTGCTTTCTTCAGATATACATACATAAACCCACTTTATTTCTGTTATTTACCATTACTATCTATTCTGAAAAACAGGGTAACATGAGTATTAAAAAGCCTGAATTCTTAAATTAGTCAATGGATCCTTCTTTTCTGAAATTATGAAATATTTAAGCCACATGGAAAATTATATGATGAACATTCATGTATTCACTAACCATTACAAATATAGTTTAGCTCCTGTGTGACCTCTTTAATCATTTTCCTCCCTCTTCCCACAGGTGATCATTATAGGTGTTAGGTATACCATTTGTATTTTTAAAATACTATTATGATAGGTATGCATGTAGCAAGAAACAATATACTATATTATTTTATGTGTTTTGAAATTTTCCATAATCTCATATGGTATTTCCTCTTGCAACTTGCTTTTTTGGTTCAATATCATAATATGAAACTTTTTAAATGTAATATATGTGGCCGAAGTTTATTCCTTTGATTATTCCACAGTATACCACAATGTATTTGTCCATTATTCTGTTGTTGGAGATTTGCCCTGTATTTTGCTGTGTATAATGTACACCCACATTTTTGTGCTCATTATTATGCTCATGACATGTAATCATTATACATATGTATGTTGCACATCTCTATTTTTCCCTCAAAAATTTGGGCAAAAAAGTGCACATTATACATGGCAAACATGGTAGATGTTTCTTTATGTATGTATGTATGTATGAATATATGCATGCATGCATGCTATTATAAACCCAATAGGTCACAGAGTAATGTAGATCTAGTAAAAACTTATGAAAATTCCAGATTCTCACTACAGTATCCTTTTATATGTTCTTTCCATATATTTCACTGGGCCAGGGAGTATCTGATTCTCTTCTACTAAAAGGGAGGTACCATCCATTGTTTCTTAACAAAGACAAAAACATAATTAAGACAAATGTGTAGAAATCTTACAAGATCCTTCAAAGAAATATAGAAAGCTCAATATTTATTACTTTTAATTACTAAGTACTTCAATTACACCACCAAATATTATGTCATATACTAAATACAAGTGAGTAGCGGTGACGCGGTTAAAGAAAGCATCACCATTATCATCAAAGCCACAAATATCTCTGCCACCATCATCAAGAGACGCTGCTTCCATTTACTAAGCATTGAGTATGTGCAAAATATTTTGAAAATATTTTCTCATGTAATTCTCACAAGAATCCCATGAGGTATTTACTCCTCAATCTGCAGATAAGGACAAGATAAAGATAAAGAAAGAAAGGTCAAGCTATATGAATAGACCCTGTAAGTGGTGGAGCTAAGATGTGAATTCAGCCCTGTCAGGCTTTCCAAAGATACTTCAGTCATTTAATCCTGCCTCCCAGTAAAGGGTTTTCTGGTAGTTTCTCCATCTTCCTGTTGCTCTGAGACTTCGGGTAAGGGAATGGAGAGGACAAGGAGATAAAAATCACACAAATTTGAAAGACCAGGATACTGAGAGGTTTTTTTCTTCTTTCCTCACCTAAAGAAGCATCAAAAGAATGCTGAATTCACAGTAGGTATTTAAAATGGACTCCCCTCCCACCACAGCTCTCTGTCAACCTACTGGGATCAGATTCTGAATCCAGATCATCAGGAATTTTATCTAAATGACTTCAAATGCCCAAAGCCAAAGTTTTCTTTCTCTGGATAATCTACCAAGTTTCAAGAAACATGGAAAGAGAGCCAGGAACTATTCTGTGAAAGAGCTGTCCTTTCACACCAACTTTCTCTTTTGCTTTTGCTTCCTGAGTAACACACCTGTTCACATTTTGGTGTGTTAAGTTTATCCTTCTCTAGTGGTGTGGTTCAAAGGTATAAGAGCCAGAGCACGGATGGTGTGGATTTCAGTCCGAGTCTAAAAGCCTGAGAACCAGGAGCACCAAGGGCTTGACACTGCTTGTGATACTGTCTCACATATAATTGATGCTCTGTAAAATTTTCTCCCCTTTGTTTCTCTTACTGCGCTTTAGTTTGTACAGTTTCAACTGCTCAATCTTTTAAATTTCACAATCTTACCTTCTAAAGTTGCTAACTTTTGTTGCTAATCCAATTAAGCATTTTTCATTTCTGACACTTGTTTTTAGAAGTTCCATTTGATTTACTTTTTGTAATTTCTATTTCTATTTACCTTTAAACCTTGAAGCTATTGAACATGCATGTGTATGTGAGCAGTTTTAAAAGCATTTATCTGCTAATTCTGACACCTATGTCACTTCAACTATTTTATGCAGTGATTATTTTCCTTGTTGTATATCACATCGTCCTGTTCATTGTCACATCTAGTACATTTTTATTAACACTAGATACTGTGAATGTTAGGTTCTCAAATGTCTCTATTTTGTTGAATTTCTTTAAAGAGTGTTGACTTTTGTTATGGCAAACAGTTCAGTTCCTTTTGAAATTTTGAGGTTTACTGGTCTGTTCTTTTATGTAGGGATTAGAATAATCTCTTCTCTATGATTACATTGGCCTGCTACTAATGAGCTTTAGACCAACTAGTTAGCCATTCTTCTGCTGGTTCTACTATATGTTTCAAAATTTAGTGGGGTCTTTCCCTTGTTTCAGGTTAATATTTTAACATCTCCCTTCCATGTGTGAGTTCTGGGAATTGTGCTCAGCTTCTGTACCCTGGCAGTTGTTTTCTTCCAGACCTCATGGATTTTTCCTACATATGAGGATTAGGATTTAGCCTAAACCTCGAAGGGATCCCAAAGTGGATGTCTGGTGCTCTTCCTCAAAATACCTTCCTCATCTCAAAACTGTTTCCTTACAAATATCAGCAACTTCTTTCCCAAACTCGAATCTCTGTCTTCTTCACTAAATAATACTCCCATGTTGTGCTTGGGTCACCTTGGGTACCTTCCCTGTACCACAGTTTACAAAGTACCTGTAGGCACATTGCTAGGGCAATGTTTCATTTGTTTCCCTTCTTTCAGAGATCACAGTTCTGTGCAGCCTGCTGTCCAGTATCTGAAAACAGTTGTTTCATTTAATTTGTCTGGTATTTCAAATGTTTATGGTTGACAGTAAATCTGGTACCAATTATTGCAACATGGTCAACAGAATGCATTTCACCTTTATTTTTGAAAGATATATTTTGCTGGGCACTGAGTTGTATATTGACAGTTTTCTATTTCTTTTAGAATTTTAAAAGTTTCATTCTATTGTCCTCTGGCCTCCACTGTTTCTATGAGAAGTCAGTCATAATTCTCATTGTTTCTCCCTTGAATGTGTTTTTGTTCTGTAACTGTACTTTAGATTTTTCTTTATAATTGATATTTCTTTGTATTTCTCTTGCAAAGGCTCACTGCACTTCCAGAAACTGTAAATTGATGCATTCTCTCACATGTGGAAAATTATCAAGCATTACTTTTTAAGTAGTCCTTCTGTACCATTCTCATTCTCTTTTCTTCTTCCAGGACTCCAAGTACATATATCTTACAGCTTTCAACGGTGTTCCATCTCTTTTATGCTCCATTCCATTTTCAAAATTGAAAGAAAATTTTATTCTTTTTTTTCCTCAATGTGTGTTTAAGTTTAGGGATTTTCTACAGACCTCTCTTTGAGTTCCCTAATCTTGACTTCTGCTTAAAATTGCATTTAATGAACTCTTTATTACTGATT